CCTTGTATGCATAGCCTTGATTGACCAAAAACCGTTGTCGTTTTAAGGCATACTGCATTTCCATGGTGTCCTGTGAAACTAGGGAATAGAAGAATGCATTATAAGCCTCCGCGTCCATGCCTCGTTTTGCACGTAGAATACGACCCAATCTTTGCGCTTCCTGACGCCGACTTCCTCCGTGCGCACTGATCTGGATCAGTACGGTGGCTTCGGGTAAATCGAACGAATTATCGGCCACTTTGGAGACGAAAATTGCTCGGACCTAATACAAAGTGGAGGAAGAGGACAGAATCCATAACGTCCATAACAACAATGACAAAATATCTTGATGTCACAGGATCACCAATTTATCGTGATCATTGCTCGTGCAAGAAGCACTCCGTAAAGTTGCGTGGGTTTCAATTTTTTTCATTCCGATTCGAAATACTTTCTGTTCTCCACAAGTTGATTGTTCAATTTGTAAAAGCATGCCTACCCCCGCCCCCTCCTTCCCACCTCACCCCACGAGTTGTACCGCTCCCCAGTGATTTTTCCCAGTGTTGAAAAAAAACTGCTATTTACTCGCAATATATCCAAAACATAAATCCATAAATTCAGTGGCATCACTAGAGATAAACTTACCGACTCTATCATGGACAGACATCTACAAGCGCGTGAAAATTTTATTGTCGAAATACTCGCAAACACTTATCACCCGTTAAACAACGAACTTTCAAAAGTGGTATTGATACTGCTCAAAGTTCAAACTTTTATTTGCACGTACCTCTTCATATTGTAATACAGTTTCGCCATATTCAGAACGTTGATTTATTGACAAGCCGAAAGTTTCCACAAATATACGTAATTCCTCGCTTCGTTGACAAGGACTATACCTGATGCTTTCAGTTTCATTTTGTATGATTTTGTAAACCTGAATCCGTAAATATGGTATAAAATTGGCCCATAGAACTACAACCGATTTCAATCAAATTCAGTTGATCGATGATCAGACTGATCAAAGCGTTGATTATTCAAACGAACAAAGATTGCTTAATCGGATAATCCTGGTAAAATCTACTCAACAGGCAAACACATCTAGCAATATATTACTGACATTCTGAAGATTGATTCAATACACTAGTGAATCTGCACTTCATTAATCACAGTTTTCACTGCTCCCAGTTCATCATAACTATGGGGCACCGCGTGGTCTGTAAACTGGTATGAAGCAGCACATGACTAACTGCCTCCCTTCAGAAACGTGTGTCGTGTTGAAATGGAACAAATTACCGAAAACTCCCGTGCAATCCCCGGGAAAAAATGTTCCGTGGCTCGATTTATCGCAAGCGAAACTAAACGAGAGAAAAAGGCATATTTTACGGGCATGTGAAGAGCCACAGACACCTTGTCTTAGAAGCTCATTCGGTGGACTCCAGTGAATTCTAAGAAAAACAGTCGGCTAACATGCTAATTGGTAGATATCATGTGCCTCTGTAGGTTGGACGGGTAATTCGAATGTGAAAAGTTCAGTGCTATCGGTGTGGCCTCGTAGCTCATCTGGTAGAGCGTGCACGTACAAAGCGCATGCGGCGTCCATACGTTGGTTCGACTCCCACCGAGGCTACTGAACTTTTCACAATCAACATGAAAACACTTCCCCGACATGAGTGTACTACAAGTGAACGTAATTCCATAGTGAAAACTGTTCAAAACTGTCGTAACTGTGAACCGAACGTGAATTACATCAAACCATAAGTTGTGGGTGTAAAAACATCATTCGATCGCGGTGGATCAATTCACTCACATTTGGATTGTGTTGAAAATTTTGCAGCACTTGCATACGCTCGGCCTGACCAGTCGGACCGTACAGATATGGTCGACCCATTTTGGTCGCGTAGTATTTCAACGCGAACACATTGTCTGAGAACACAATAATTTTGTCATTTCGACGCTCGTGATAGCGGATGAGAAATTCACACGCGCGATACTTGTTCGGGTTCATTACGGCCAATAGCAACTTCTTCATCGACTTCATCTGTGAGCGGGGGGAATTAGTTGTGGATGCATGAGGTGTGTGTGTGTGTGTGCGGTAGAGGTGAAATGAGTATGAGTTGTCACAATGAATCATCATCATAATAAACTTGTGACGATGGGCGATATAGATAGAGTAAGTGAGCAAACAAGCACTGGTAACCGTAGTAAAATGATGCGTATGCAACAACTGGAAGACTGAGATTATCCAAATCAGTTAGATTGATGTGCCTTCTGATTGACTGTATCCGAATTCGCATCCGGTCAGAACAGACAAATAGGTCCCATTCCCCAATAATGATATTCGGTGTCATTTATTGTGTGGAATAGGTTTACCCGCGATGTGGATTATCGAGTCCAATGACAAAATTCCTTCCAACATTTATAGTTAACAAATAACACGGTTTGAGATATAGCCCAAGAAAAGCAAATCGTCTGAAAATTGAAGTTTTCTAACGGCAGTGAGCCTACTGCTTACACATCTTATACAATCTCCGAAGAATAACGAACGCTAACAGCTTTGCAGCATATACCTCTGTGGTTGGTTTAAACACTGCGCGGGCACTTTTTGAAAATGGGGACAACAGTTAACCTGTTCAGCGTTCCAAGCTTTAGAGAACAGAACTTTTAATTCTCTAACAAACTTCATTCAATTAGCTTCAAATAGAGCTCGGGAAAGCTCATTACAGCGTGGCGTTTTGTGCCGTCCCAAGGCTTGGATACCTTTGCGGATGCTAAAATACACATTTTGTATGACTTTTAAGCTACCGTCATGTCAAAATGGTGTGGGTATGTATTCGAAATTGAAGTGATTATCGCCCAAGCCTAAACACTATTCCAAGAGGAAAAACGGAACACTACCAAGCTGAGGGGCTGTGTACACCATCAAACAGAACGCACTAAAACGTTCGTACTGAGAAACACATTTCATTTCTTGGTTGATGGAGAGTAACAAGCTTCACAAAATATTCCGTTAAAATTATAACAACTACCCCACCCCACCCCGCAGGGAGCGGGTAGAGAGGCGGGGTATTACAGCTCGATTTATTGCATGCTCTTTGTTTTTCATTTTGTAAGCATCCCGTTGTGGATCCATTATATCAAGACTGTAAAAAGATATGACGCTTTTAGTTGGCGGGTGGGCGTATTAATAAACTGAATCCGGAACACTCGCCGACAACCAAACCCACGCGTTTCTGGCTCCGAGATCGAACTTGTTTGCTCACATAGCCGCAGGCAACGGACCAGATAGGCGTATTGATGAGATGATCACGCTTCGTCAACACGCGATCCACTTTACCCAAGCCCCTAAAACCTATTCTGCCCGGTTGCACAAAGTTCCTTCTGCCTGATTGTTGTTTCCCCGGCGGCGGCGGC